ATTATTATTTTTTGCAATTTTTTTTAGGGGCAACCAGTGTAGTGAAAGGGTTAAAAGAAAAACAATGCATGTGACATACTACATATAATCTTCATTTTGAGTACTACCAGTCAAAATGAACCATTTGGCCCTGATGCATTAATTAGGTGAAGGAAGTCAGATGTACGTGTAGTTTCTAAATGTTACAAGGGGTCTTAAACTCGAACAGAAGACATTTTTCAATAACATCTAATTGTGGCAATATCAGACGTTAGACGTCAACCCCGTATTCCTACTGTCACGTCTGTTCCTAAATGTCATTATTGGCTGTGTATTTGTTATTTATCTCTCTGTAACTTTACAATTTCACAATTATAGGCAGTGTCCTGGTCAGAGTTCCCGTTAGCCGGTAATTACCGGACTACGACCGGTAAAATATGCTGAAGACCGGCAAATCTAAATCTCTCCGGTCAAAGTGTCCGTTCAAAATAATTTCCGTTTAGCGCAATTAGTACATCAGTTGCGCAATTTGCGCCATTTATGTGACAGACAAGAATAGTCAATTCTAATGTCTACTTAATGTGGAGAGAGAGATGTCCTGTGTGGGTTGATTGTGCGTTGATCTGTTGGTAATGCCTCGGGGTTCCGGTGGGCATGTAAACAAATGCATAATGCTGCGCTATACTTTGCGGCCTCACCCAGTTGCATAGCGACACTTATTGTTTAGGTGTCTTTTAATAAGCAGGTAGTCATATCATTAGCTAGATCTGATCGATATGGACATAAACGCGAGTGAAGTCTAATCTGACGGGAGAGAGAGATCAGCTGCTGCTGACGAGTCGACACGCAGCTCTGCATGATCACATGCAGCGGTGAGCGGAGCAACACACACTTCAGGTTAGAATATCACACGTAGCTATTTTAATTACCTCTCAAACTACCGTAACTAGTTATAGATATGTTTAGTTTTACTGTCGGGTCACTCATTACTGATCCGCGAGCTGCATGATACTGACGGGCTGTCAGGAGAGGGAGAGAGCGCTCCGTTTATTATTCCCGTGTTATTGTAAATTACTGTACGCTTTTGAATAATGTAGTTAATCTAAATCTACTATAATTAGTTTGTTTAATATCGAATCATATCAATTTGTTTTAAAGCACAATAAATAACAAAGAAGACCTTTGACCGAGACTTTTCTCATTTTGTCCGGAAGATTTAAACTTTAACGGACATGTTGACCGGCGAAAAAATATTCTAACGGGAACTCTGGTGCTGGCTCCAGGGCAGGTTGTAGTGTACAGAATGTTGCTGCTAATTTGGTCTGTATGTTTGTGTGGATACGGTGAAGTGCAGCTCCTCCTCCTTTACAGGTCCACAATTGTTGCAGCTATCAGCTTGGCCCATTAATTAGTGTAATTAGTCTTGCTTTGGGCAATAAGGGTCTGATATGAGCTGACGGCCTCCAGCCCACACGCCCTCTCAGACCGTTTACCTTGCCCGATAAGTTTGTGAGCTCGCTAATCGGACACATTAATCACTTTGGCCCCAGCGCGCCATTCCACTGTTTGCTGTTGCATTAAGACGCGTTATCTCTATCGGAGCCAGCGGAGGGTGCGGTAAAACAGAAAGGGGAACAACCTATAGCTGCACACATGGACGCAGAATTGCCCTTTAATGACCATTGTTGAGTATTTTAATCAGCTTTTACAATGGCTGGCTGTCATCAACAATGACTGAACGATAGTGGAGTTTTGTTGCTGAAGTGCTCGGGGAAGTTTGCTATCAGGCGGGAGTTCATTGTTTGAAGGAGAGAGGGAGAAAACTTGATTTCCTCTCAATCTCTTTAACATCAAAATGACCCCGGGCTTGTTAGTCAATAAAGCTATAACAGAGGCTCCTGATAGGAGGATTGTTCACAGGCTGTTTAAGGCCGGGGTCCGTCCCTCAGGAAGCATTCAGGCCACCCTGAAGTGGAGCAGCTCCTCAGGCCTTTGAAGACTTTGCTCTTTTCCACCCTCACTTTGCCTCTTTCTGTCTGATCCGTCTTTATCCCCTCTCCTCTGCCTCCTTGTCTATCTCTGTTTCACTCATCCTATTCTTCATGCTCTCTTTTATCCCGGGATCACTCCTTTAGCCCTTTGATTAGCATACCACAAACCCCATGCATTTCCCCCATGGTTTAAGTGCTATTAATGCTAATTGGAGGCAGGGAACCTCTTTAAGTAGCTTTCAACAGGTCTGTTTGTACACCTGGTGGGGGGGCTGTGTGTGTGTGTGTGTGTGTGTGTGTGTGTGTGTGTGTGTGTGTGTGTGTGTGTGTGTGTGTGTGTGTGTGTGTGTGTGTGTGTGTGTGTGTGTGTGTGTGTGTGTGTGTGTGTGTGTGTGTGTGTGTGTGTGTGTGTGTGTGTGTGTGTGGTGTGTGTGTGTGTGTGTGTGTGTGTGTGTGTGTGTGTGTGTGTGTGTGTGTGTGTGTGTGTGTGTGTGTGTGGTGTGTGTGTGTCTCTGTGTGTGTTCTCTCGGCTTTATGTATACCCCTGCACCCTAAACCAATACATTACCTGAACATCTTATAAAACCCATGAACACAACATGATATGCACAGAATATTGGGGATTAGCTAACATTCATAGTCAAATAAGTGATAAACATGCGAAAAGGAAATGACAGAGCCCTGAGCAAGACTGAATGATAGGGCCTGTGTGAGTATCAGTATAATTCTTGAGCCTTCAGAAGGGTGACATGAATACAGTCGAACAAAGGTCTCCAGTTGCATGCAAACCGGGGATGTTGCGGTTCATGGTCTGCGCCTTAACCCCCGGGTCACCGGGGCACAGCTAAACCCACTCTGTTAAGATGGAACATTAAAACCTGGCAGCATTGTTCAATTCCTTCCATTTGCATTAGTCCAAGTTGAATCAGAAGGGATATACATGGTTGGAATAAGATTGGTTAGCTGTGAGCACAAAAGTAGTACTTTTTACTATTACTAGCAATACCGGTTGCTTTAACATTAGTTAAACAAATGCTTTTTTTCTGCGTATTGAAGTAAATGTATAATAAAGGGATTTGGACAATTGTTATAGTTTATTACCACACCACACATACGGTCAGTTTGCTCTCATCAAAGCCAAGCTCTATTGACGGAAAATAACTTTACTTTGTTGATTTTCGAATGACAACCATCTTTGTTAGTCTTGTTCCAACAAGTGTGAGAGTTTAAAAAAGAAAGTAAATAACAGTCATCAAAAAAGAAGCGAACACCGAAACTGCTTTAGAGACATTTCAAACTCTGCTCTCCAGGCTCTTGGCTTAGATCGTGACACACCAGGAGAAAGAGTAGAGAGGCACTAGTTGGTTGGCAATGGGAAAGGAGTCTATTGCCAAAAAGCGTCTTTAAGAACCTGCATAAAAGCGTTAATTATGGTGGATAAGATGTCTGTAGTTACAGTAGCAGCTGCAGTAGAAACCACAGAGATTTGAATGCACATATAATACGCAAACTAACTCAAACCAAAGGCTCATAAAATGCATTCTGCCTCTTGCACAAAGTCCAATTAAGCTATCAAAAGGTGGCTAGTGTGATGAATCGGAGGGCCGATGTGTGTGTTTATTTGATCATTAGGATACCACCATCCTCACTCTGTGTTCTGCTACGGTTAGCATGTGTGGCACTGAAGGAGCAAATTGGATTGGTCTTACAGTACGTAAGCCCGGTCTTACATCCTGATGAGAGCCGACAAACACATTGGATTGGTGGCGTGTAAATCTGAAGCAGTTTGATGAGGCGAAGGCGCAAATTGAATTCTCAACAATGTAAATCTGTATCAGCTCTGTGGCTCTCCGCCCGGCTCCAGCCCTGCCGGAGCTTAAATCATGCGATTGTTCCCTGCTGTTCAGAGATACAATCTCTCATGGCCATTTGCTGCGGCACCTAATCTGTTTTTGATGACTCTGTAGGGATGTAGCGATACATATGGGCAACTGAATCTCCCTCTGGCCCGCTCTGAATACATCTTTCTTTCTTCCTCTCTTCCTCTCGCTCACAAGCACACACTCACAAGCTGCACAGTTGGCACAGAGAGATTGCTTTGATTGAGCCATTCATGTGTGTTGATACAAGAGAGGGCTCTGATTGGACATACTCATGGACCTGCTGTTTTCTCAGGAAACATTTTGATCTCTAAGATAAAGCAGATGATGTCTCATATTTATGACGCTTCTGGAGCCTTGTTGATTCATACAAATCATATTTATAGAGTAGTGTAGAGATGACTTGTTTCTGAGCTCATGGACTAAATTAGATGATTTTTCCATTGGATTTTGGAATTCAATTGTGTGGCAAACACGTGTTTCTGATACTTACAGCAGAATCATCTTAGTACAAATGTGAAGTGTGAACGCAATTGCCAGAGATAGCTAATGTAATGCTATGAATAAAGTAGAACACTGTCAGAGGAGGTGAGTTTGTAGCTGTTTTTCATTGGTGTTTTATCCTATCCTTGCTGTGTTTTATGCTTTTTTCTACATTTTATAGTTGTACTTTGAATTGTGTATCGTGTGCTGTATACTGTAAAGCACTTTGTACATTCGTGTTGTGAAGGGTGCTATATAAATAAAGTTTTACTTACTTACTTACATGACTTCACGTCACTGTCGCTAAGCTAAAGGCGGCTAATGTTGGGCGTGATGTTGTTTAGTTGTCTCATTTAGACACTTGTTAGCAAACGCTTTTTTGAAGACACTAAAAAGCTTCGGACATTCACCAGTGGGGTATTTAATGACGTATTTTATGTCTTATTCACAGACCTTATTTAGGGAACCAAAATGATGTTAAAAAAGTCTGGGAAGTGCCAAAAAATGCAAAGTCATTCAGGGGTTTAGGACTCATCCCTGCACCCATCTATACCCTTTCTTATTGCCTGTCCTATTTACCACCAAGTAGCTCATTATGACATCGTGTATACACTTCTACCGGTGTTTGATTCTCTCCGTCACTGACTGTCCTGCTGTGTCTCCTCAGTTACCCGTACAGTGAGGACAGCAGCCAGGGGAAGCAGTACATGAACACCCGATGCCCCGCCTGGTGTGACCGGATCCTGCTGTCTGCCTCTGCCAGGGACCTGGTCTTGAAGGTGAGCCGGACCTGCCCCTCCTAACCCCATTCATGGCTTTCCATTGCTTTTAAGAGTTGTGTTTAAAACTAAATGTCACCATTCCTCCCTCAGCTGAAACACAGGTCTCTTTTTAAAAATGTCTCGCCCTTTACTTCTACCACTCTATCGCGCTTCATCCACATTACCTTCTGGCACTTCACAGATGGAAGGATGAGGTGTCGGTGAATATTCATTTGGAGCGCTAAGCCACGGGTCCACCCAGACAGTATATCCAGTTCTTATAAGGTTTCAATGGAGCAGCAGATCTGTCTCCTTCCTGGGGGATTGAAACCCTGCAGGCCCCGCTTCAAATCCATCCCAGCATTGTAAACTGCAGCCAATCTGCCACCTCCATCCTCTGCTCCCTCTCTGTTTGCTGGATTACCAAGAGATCCGTCTGGCTGCTCTGCACATTTGTCCCAGATTTGTTGAAACCCGTTTCCCATAAGACAACTCTTTTTGATTTTTCTCCCATTCCAGATTCCCCAACACTGGAATTAAGTATTTTCAGTGCTTAAACTGCAGTATTGTATCTGTCTGTGTGTGTCTGTGTGTTAGACATGAAGCCAGTGTTGTAGTCAAGTCACCAATTCTAAAGTCCGAGTCGCTCACATGCCCCTACGTTTTGCTTGTGAAATGTGTGTCGTCAAAAATCATGCAAGCGCTTTTCAAGCAGACTATTTTTTCTGTAGAAAGTAGTTAAAATAAAAAAGCTTCACAGCAATGATATCGTACATTACAAGTTTAATATGCTGTAACATAGCCACATAAAAGGAAAGTACCTGCATTTCTGCACACTATATGTTTGTTCCTATTTTGGATAACCCTACCCAGGAGATTCATGTCCATCTATGAAATGGCCTGTGTTCCTGCAGGCCTGCAGAGTGTATTGTGCAGGTACGGTCCACAGCAGGGGGCGCTCAGGAAGTTCGGCTCTCTTTTGTCCCAGAAATCCCTTCCTGATCTTTCTTCTTTACCAATGGAAGCCACACTAGAACAACAACTGTATTAAAAACAGAGACTAGCCAGTTTTTTCACCCACTTAATGTGTCAGAATTATGTAAAAAGTGTCTCACACACACACAGCTGGGTTGTTGTTTGCTTTTCTCCTCCTCAAGCACCGGCTAATTGCTTGTAATGCGGGGGCCGGTGGAACGGTTAGTGTGTTCTCAGATTGGCTGATGATTCACTGAGCACACAGTGTGGCTCCAGCGTTACAGATTGTTGAGACACAGCCCGTAAACAGCGGCGGGGCTCATCTATCATGGCACGCTCGGTTAACTCGCCATCATGTTATTTTCTGCTTGCCGAGCCCTAACACGCCAAAGGTTGCCGCTGGCTGCGCGGCGGGCCCCGGCCCCCAGCGCCGGTAATGAATGTTTAGCAGAGCGAGCACTCCCTCTCTGCCGGAGCCCCCGGGTCATTTGTTTATCTGTCTAAAGATTACGCAGCCCGAAAATCCACAATTTTATGCTGCCTTTGTAAATTATCAAGTGTGTGTTTGATGAATGTATCTCTGGCTTTGGGAGGCAGCGAATCAGGGGCCTGGCTGCCAGACAAATAGAGAGGTGCCAGAGCGTGGCCCCCGAGGAAAGGTAGAGTGAGGTGGAGCTGACCCCCCCACCGCAGGATTGGGCTGAAGTTAATTTGGATTTCACTTTATGGTTCATTCTCAAGCTCTCTGTCTCGTTCTTCTGAAGCACTCAGCACCCACCAGACTGTGTGTGTGTGTGTGTGCGTGTGTTGGTGGGGGGGGGTTAGGGCGCCTGTTTAAAAAGTCTTTAGTTCAACCAGACAAGTGTGATTTATTCTCCAGTCTGCAGATTCATGTGTGAGCGGGTAACAGTGATATGGAAACATGGTTCCCTCAGATAGGATCAGATGACAGTAGCAACAGAAGAGCGTCCACTCTGTGAATGAATCCTCACCGTGATGTGCGACTGCTCTGTGGGGATCTGTTAGAACTCTCACATGAAATAAGCGTACGGTGTGTGATGCATCTCCATCATGAACCATTGATCAGGCGCCATAGAAGTTTGCTAAATAATATAACATCCTTTTACTTTCTGTAAATCAGCTGGATTATAGTCACGGCCATCCCTCACAATTCTATTAACTGAATGTATTTAGCAAATGATAAACCTTTAATTTCTTCACATTCTCTAACTGGTGCCCATTTTAATTTTGGCCCCAGTATTCCCCCGTACAATTTCAGTTATAAAACAGATTGGAATGAATGTATAAATATATGTATTAACCAGCAAAGGACAAATAAACGGAACACAGTGACTGCACTGGTTTAGGATGTTGTTGAACTTAAACTAATTATTTCAAATGTTAATCAAAAATGTTTCCTAGAATACAAAAATAGGAAAAGAGTGCAGCCACTTCAGCCGGATTCATTTGAATGCCACGGTGGTGCAGTTCTAAGTGACTTGTATTTGGAAAGTCCCCACCATAACCCAGCTAATTGTGCTTAATGAAGCCGGAGCATTGATTTCTGATCCATGAGTGTGTCATAAACATGACAGGTGAGGTAATGATTGTACTAACACACACTGCTGCTGACTCAGCATGTGTCACTGCAGCCTGTTCCATTCATCCTTTTCATCCCATAATGTTTGGTTTTGTGTGTCTGCAGCCTGAAAACGAAGAGAAGTCTGTAGTCTATGATAACATCGGGCCCAATGTCTGCATGGGGGACCACAAGGTAAGAGAGGGGCCTCTGGGGCCACATCTTCACTGTGATGTCATGATGTTATTCTCTATGTCGACTGAGTCTGTGAGTCTGATCTCTGCTCACAACATCTAGTGGGAAACAACTGTTTGTATTTCATGTGTACATATGGATATTAAAGGGGAACGCAAACTTCATTTAGAATTCCAAAATGTTATTTTCATATTATATGTTCAAGTCAGAAGAAGGTCTCAAATGTATTACATTTCGAGTATAAAGAAAGAATGACATCAATAGGAGTTTGTGGACCCACAGAATATTTGAGTTTTCTATATGTCCCAGGAGATTATCTATGACTCACTTCCAAACTTTATACTTGATGACATCACACATTTGACTCTAGTTTTTTATGTTGATTCAAATGATTGGACAGGGACTATAGGAACAACATGTAATCAAATTGCAAATATGCATGATTCCCCTTCAATGTGTTCCAACTATATGAGGCTTTTATTGTTACTAACGGGGATAACATGTATTTGACTTATATTACACTTGCTTCCGCCTGCATTCATTTGAATTGCAACTTTCACATTAATGTGGGCTCATTTATCAACAAACAGTATTATTATTAATAGTTTAAGTTTCCAGTAGTGTAAAGGCTGTTGTAGAAAGAACATTTTCAAGCATAGTCCCACTGATCAACAATTACAAAAGAAGTGTACACATATATTCAGTCTGCATCAGAATGTCCCCCACCAGCAGTCAGAGCCCTATGTAAAGCATTACTCACGTATTCCTGCAGGCCGGGAAGCTGCTGGTTCCCTCATTTCATATTTCTACTGAAATACATTCAGTGGTAACAGACACTAGACATGTGGAATATATAACCTTAATCCCTTACCAGGTTTCATTTAGGAAACTTCTTTCTAAAAGCAATACGATCAATAAATAAATAAATATTTCATTCTGCCATGAACTGAAATGTTTCCCTTCAACAGCCGACAGGAAATACCCTGCTGACTACACTCCCTACAGTTTCCTATGACAAGAGAAACTTTGAATATAATCACCACTTTTATGATTTCTCAGATGAAATGGGAGTAAAAAAAGCATCATGCACTTTACCATGGTTTCATGACATGATGACAAACACACCTGTGTATGATGGGATAAGGTTTAGTAATGTAAGTTAGCCACTTAATAACCACCTTTATTAAGACACATAAAGCTTCACAATTCACACTGATTATACTGATACTGATGGGCGCATACAAATCTCATATTTTACCACAGATTTTATTTCAGGCATCTAATCAAAAACCCATTAAAGAAAATTGATGCTTGATGCTAGGTAACAGAATAAAAAAAATGCTGACTCATTCCTGGGTTTGAGGACTCATTCTTGCAGCACTTTTATAAAGAATAATTGAAATGTGTTGAGCGCACAGAGAGGGGCTGACTGTATAGACAGAGTTTAACACGGGCGCTCCAGTCTGAGGGTGTCAGACAGAGGGTCGTCCGCTGAGAGAGAGGCGCCTTAAGTCAGGTCTTTCATCAAAAGTCAGTGTGACACAGACGGTCGAGTGTGTGTGTGAGGTGACCTGAGCACTCTGACAGAACCCCCCCGCCACACACTACTGCTAAAATCCCAGAAGGCCATGTTTAAAAAATGTCCAATGTAGTTAGCACACGGGCCCAAGAATGCCCTGTGAGTTTAACCTGTGTGTCAGAGGGGGGTCCTCCTGTCCCACAGGGTCTAACTGCTCTGTCTCTGTCCCCCCACCAGCCTGTCTTCCTGTCCTTCCGAATAACAGCGGGGGCAGGTAAACCTAATGCAAATAAGCACAAGTGTTGTGTGGTGCAGTGATGTCGTGGTAAATATTAATTTTTCTTTACTATAATTCTCACCATTGTATGTTTGATTTGTCTGAGTTTTCATGACTTTGCACAAATGGTATTTGAAGGAGTTTTATTCCAGAATAAAACATCATCAGTGGAAAAATTATAGCTTAAAATGCTTGTCATTTTAAGAGATTGACTTACTGCATCTTGTGCTTACATTTAAAAAGTGGGCATTTGTATTTGATTGAAACTCTACTTGGCATTTATGAATAAAAATATGTGTTTTTCTCTCGACAGGGAAGTGTTGCCAAAGGGGGGAGAAGATATTCCGAGAAGCGCCTCTGTGAGAACACAAGAGAAACAAACAGGACACACACATGCATGCACACACATACATACACACACACACACACACACACACACACACACACACACACACACACACACACTTTGCACAAGCATACACTGAAGTTTTTCAGCAGTGCTGAGCAGTTGCAGTTGTCCTGACGCCTCATCCATACACCCTGCCGTTTTCTCTCCATAAAACACTTGTTGAGATGTGGACGAGCACCGAGGGCTCCAGACAGACACACATCGCTGACCTCACTGTTGCCATGCAACCCCATTCCCCCCAAGAAGAAAAAAAGGACGGACGACTCTTTTCCATGCCGCAGCCTCGTTGCCAAAACTCTAATCTAAATCAGTCCTACTACTTACTTTTAGACACCGTACTTGCCATTTTTAGGTATGCCTCTCTGTATAGAGCTACTCTCACACAGTATGTAAGGTGTTTTAAGTGCAATGCAAAAACAAGTTGTATATCTATATTGTTAGGTTTATTTGTACATTGGACAGTATAACATAGAGTTGTTAATGATTTTAGTGCCGTTCTCTTTCTGACCAAACTTTGCGGTCCCTTTGTTGGAACAGATAACCTTTCCGTTTATTTCAACAATTTATATATATATATAAATATATACATTTTTGTTTTTGAGTTGTTGTGTGCACAACACATTGCCATGCCTGACACATCAGTTGAGTCTCATTTTATATACTGTACTTTTTAAAGAGATAATTTATAATTCTTACCAAAATGTTGATGCTGAAGTGTGCAGAGAGTGACCTTTGAGTAGAGACTCTTGTGTTTTAAGCAGTGCCATAGACCATGCAAGTATATAAGATATTGTTTCATATATAGCTCTCACATTAGTTCATTATTATTCTTACTCTAACTTATTTCTATAATATTATGGTTCTGAATGTGATATTTTAGATAGGCTTGGGTATCCTTCAAATGTTTTATTGTGTGTCATTTTTTTTTGTTACTGCATTTGGTGCCAAGTATCCTAAACCGAGATGAAGTGTGTAAGAGTTCTAGAATAAGTGGTAAAGGTGTTGATTATGTCATGTAAAAAAGAGAGAAACTCTAACGCGGGAAGAGCAGGGAGCTTTTTATTTGTTTCAGCCTTATTTGCAGATCATTGAGCATTAGGTTTCTTTTGTATCGATTTCATTTACTACACTACAGATTTCAGACTGTGATTTATTTTTCATCTAAATCACTGCAAGTGGAAATGATTTTGTGCCTGCCGCAGAATTTATGTTGTCTTGTGTGATTTTGGTTTGTAGGCCCAGCTTGTTTTTGTCCCTGTGGGTGTTCTGTAGGAGTAAGCCGCAGTTTCTCTTCACTCCATCTTATAAAGCAGATAGAGATTGTATTCTATAGCCCCCCCCCCCCCCCCCCCCCCCCCCCTCCCCTCCGGACGGCCTGCTGTAGGTGATGCAGTTCTCAAGCAATAAAAAATACCTTTAGAGCTCACGGCTGTTTGTCTCATTCCCTCTCTCTCCTCTCCACAATAAGAGTCCCTCGTGATAAAGGTCTTCATCAATTAGCCCCGCACGAGCTCATCAGTGTATTATCACTATATCACCACGGCTGGGTGTAGAATAAGAACTGGAATATGGTCGTTTCTCTTCAGGGGGGTGCACTATGACACCTTTAATTGGTTTAAAATATTCTTCAAGCAGCCAATAAGAAATATAAATAACGATCGAAAAAAGAGGAGTATAGTTCGAAATACCAACTTTATAGGATATTTATTATTGGCGTGGGTATGACCAAATGAGCTCATATGCCGCTATGATGTTGGCATATAGTCTATATTTTTTGTTACAGAAATAAATACAAATTATTGACCGAAATTCGCGATGTTTAGGCCTTTCACGGAAAATAGAACTGACGGGAATATATTAAAAGTTAGCTGCAAGCGAGAGATGTAAAAACAGAAGAAATAATTGGTATCCAGTTTATGATGGTAATGGGTTTAGTTATGCAATTTAAATAACAAATAACTTTCAATGCAGCTTATCTGATAAACATAGGCTACTGAAAAGCAAGCGATTTAAAATGTTAATAACCTTCAGACAGGCTTTACAACCTTTAGCTATAAATATTAAGCTGTATATAATGTTAAGGTTACATAAAAGAACGTTTAAAAAATAAAATAATACGTCAATAAAGTCACTATAGGCCTATAGACATTATTTAGGAATATTAGCCAAAGGAACATTTAGGCTAAATATATCTTAATAATTATTTCTGGATAAATCCTTTTCTCCCTGCAGTGTGACAGCAGCTGTTCACTTCTGCATGATTTATAAATCCCTCCTCAGTGGAATCTGATTTTATGACTTCTGATTTCTGCTCCAAGGAGACTGCAGCAAGCTGCCATTGATACAACCTGCAGGAGGAACACAGGTGTAGTACCTCCTGCCGGACAGGGGGGGCGTTCTGCTGTCAGGAGCTCCAGATTAAATATATAATAAACAATATCATCTCCTTCAGTGTATTAATAAAGACCTGAACTACAGGTCAAACTGCTGGCTGCCCACAGGAAGCTAGAAGGGCCAAAATAGAAAATGAATTCCGAGTTGGGGAACATTTTAAAAATAAAACATCCGGTATTTCAAGAAAACACACTGCTTTTGAGCTTTGATTTTTTTTAAACGTTACTTAGTGCTTGTATATAATAACGGACAAATATCTATCATTTGTTACAAAATATAATTGTTGAATAATTGCCAATTATTTAACATTTGAGAATGCTGTGATTATATTAATACATTAATATTTGATTATAATAATGCTAATAATTTGGTTGTAATACCAATATTATTATAATACCACCTAATGAAAGAAAAGTTGGACCTATAGATAATTTCCGTTTTTAAATACATTTTGCGTTTTAGAAAATAACCCTGTTTAATGATAAACACGCTAACTGAATCAAACTAAAGGAGGTGCTTTGTGCCATCATGATCATCGTATTACTATTAATAATATCAATAATAATTAAATAACATTTCCTTTTTCATAATCAAATTCGCTTCAGACTTTAAATCAGCATGAAGCCCTAAAAGCACAAGACGTTGCCAATAATAATGACATTCGATTATTGATAGTCGTGAATTTATTTGTAATTTATATTAAGCCCATACATTAAAACAAAACCCGTAATACAACAGAAATGCTTGTTAAATAATTTATTCATAATACAAAGTGTTGTTTTTTTTTCTTCCTATAACCTTCCCGGAAGCAATAATACTCTTTAATTCCAGCAGAAACGGTGGCCGGTGTTCTGCCGCTGAGTGAGGCAGATGATGCAGAGTGTTCTGTTAGCTGTCCTTTACAGGTATTTACAGCAGCGGGTTACAGCGGTGTGCCGGTACCGGACGGACCATGGCCCGACACACTGCAGGAACACAAAGGAAGCAGCAGGTTTATCTGTAAGCGCGTCCGGCTGCCACGTTTCCACTGGTTGAAACAACATAACTTATTCAGTAAAAAATATATACAATCTCATCTCATCTTTAGGCTGCAGCACAAATCATTCATTCGTGTCAAACCTGCGGCCGCGTGCCTTTAGGACAGTGGATACCCTGGTTAAACTGAGCTTTAGAAGCGTCACAGGCCCGTCTACACCTGCCATCTGAAACATGCGTCTGGGATCCGGATCACAGTCTGCTAATAAATCTGTTAAAAGCGTACAGACACCTCTCAAAGCTACATTTACTTTTTCTTCAACCCAAATTGCATTAAGGCTGAATGATCTAAAAGTGTGGCTTCAGAATTAAAAAAAAAAGCTGTCTTTTTCCTTCAGATGAAAATATAGTGAAAACCAATTAACAGGAACATCCACTCTCTCGCCGGAGGCTAAATGGATGGCCCTCTTGGCTGTAGAGGTGACAGAAGCTGCTAATCTTGGGTAGAGGTGGCGCGGGAAATAATGTAACAAGTGTCATGAATTACATAAAGAGGAGCAGCTTGAGGAATAAAAGTCAACAAGTAATGAGCCAACAGTGATCCGGATTGTGTGTATATAATAGTTTCTTTACATTTACACCTGTGGTTAAAACTCCAGTTGAATGCGTAAAAATCTGAAATGTTGCGTCGCCAAACATTTTCCAGTATTATGTTGTCCTTTCAGCTGAATCACCAGTCTTGTTGAGTTCGGACAGGAGTTTCCTCTCCGTGTTTACACTGTCGGTAAGTTTGGATGCAGCCAAAGCGTCTCTGGACATGTTTTGGTGAGCGCGTCTTTCGTGCGCAGCAGCGGTTTTTACGCATTTTCTCGCTCTGTCTGAGCACGATGCGATCCCATCAGGCGCGTGTTCGAAGTGTCAGGTGGGATGGGGTTCAGAAAGACGTGTCTTTGTGGCCCCCTCCCCTATTGTGCCCCCCCAGCTGTGGGCATCACAAGGTGTCCGAGCTGTTGCTGCAGGGGCTGATCAGCGCCAGGTTGGTGGCCTTATGCTTTTTCAACAGTCTCGTGATTTTCTCGTCGTCTGAGTTTGGGTCCAGCGGTTTGTTGTACTCGTCGTCGTCCTCGTTATCCGAGCTCTCCTTCATTTTCTCCGTCTCAGAGTCGTGCTTCTTCTTGGCCGTGGCCATTTCTGCCGCGTGTCTCTTCCGCCATTTGGTCCTTCTGTTCTGAAACCAAACCTGTAGAGGAGCAGAGGCGAAACGATGCTCAACAGGTCCAATAACAAGACAGCAGAAATCAAACTAATCAAAACAGGTGTAAATAATCCTGTATGCATAACATAAATAACAAATAATACAAATAATAACTGCAACCTTATTTACAAATAGAAATAATATTAGGTTATATATGTGATCGATCACACACCGTTTATGATCGTGGCCTGTGCCAAATTCATAGTTCTCAGATTGCAGGAAAGTGAAACCTTTTTCTATGTGAAGAACGAACGAGCAGGTGTTTACCTTGACTTGACTCTCGGTCATCCCCAGAGAGTAGGCCAGCCGCGCTCTCTCCGGCCCGGCCAGGTATTTGGTCTGCTCGAAAGTTTTCTCCAGGGCAAAGATCTGCTGCCCTGAGAAGGTCGGTCTGGAGTGTTTCTTCTTCCCGTCCTTGTCCAACATCATAGCTTGAGCTGCACAAATAAATACAAGGAAGTGGTTACATACAGAGTGAGGGCTCAGACAGCTGTAAATGTGATGCTCCTCAAAGTCAACTCTAAATAACCCTAGGATGGTTATGTGTGTCTGAGCTAGCCTACATGGTGAGTGTAGCCTACTGACAAATTATTTACATGGTGCTTTTATAGTTTTCATTTTACAAGTTGAAATGTCCTGCCAAGAATCACATTAGAATTGAGTGTCAATGCTATGGTGATTATATGCCTAATAATAATACTACTAATAATATGTATTCCTTTTATACAGCTATACACATATTTTCAATACATTTAGAGGGGCTATGAAATCTGTACAATTTAGTCTAGCTATTTTTGTTTGTGTGTGTGTTTGCTGGACAGTTACATCTTTAAATACAGAGAGAGAAGCACAGCTACATATTTTACAACCGCACATCTGCTTTCCCTGAATTTATACAATTAAAAAACTGAAAGTGTTCTCACAGAGAGCCCCTCAGACAGGACTTACATGGACAATGGAGCCGCGGGTCCCTCCAGGGGTTGCCCTGCATCACCCCGGGCCAGAAGATGGGCGCCCTCCCCGGCAGCTCGGCCAGGGGCTTGGGGTACCGCGACATGGCGGGGCTGAAGTACATCCCCGCGGCTGCTGCGGCGGCGGCGGTGCTGGCCAGGCCGTTTATCCGCGGGAACGCGGAGAGCAGCTGTCCGGCAGCGTTGATGGGTCTCCCCAGGATGTCGCTTATTCCGTGCGGGGTCCCCCCGGCAAATTGGGAGTTGAGGCAGGAGAACTGCGGCGCCTTGAAGCCCCCGGGGCTCTGCTGCAGCGCGTACGGGAACAGGGAGTTCTTCATCTCGGTCATGTTGTGCAGCGCCGCCAGCGGGGTGCTGCCCAGGACGAAAGCACTCTGCCGGTTAGCATCCATTTGCCCGACCGCTAACATTTGTGAACATGAACCACCAAATGTGTTTGGATGAAAAGAGGAAATAAACAAAGCTAATGAGAGTAAATGAAGGCGCAGAGGTTCAGGAGCCAGGCCACTGCACCACCTTCTGTGAAAGTATCCTGGGTGAAGAAGAAACAGTCTCTGGAAATGTTGCAAAACTTAAAAAAGCGAACTTCTATTCTCTCTTGGGAAGGGAAGAGCTCGGTGAAAGTCCCAAAATGTCTCTCCGCGGGTTGTTATGGTCGGTTGTCAGCTGGGAGAAAGCTGCATGCGTCCGCCACAGGAGTCCTCGCGGAAGTCGGCCGGTCTGATGATGTTTTTAGTGGTTGTGATGGGAACCATTAAA